GATCGAGGCAACATCGCTCCTGTACTCAACGATGGATCGCACAAAGCATGTGTCGGTGAATCCCCATCACTTTTTGTTGGCGGCACGAGCGGCCCTCAAGCCGAAATCGCAGGCATATTTGACATGCCCGATGAGAAGCTGGCCAAGGGTTCATCAGCCGATGAAAAGCCAGTACCCGAAGCATTCAAAGATCTTGAACCATGGATTTTCCAAGAGTTTGGCGATATCGTAGAGCTCGTTGATGAATGAGGGAGCATTGTTTGGAGATACTGTGACGCAATGGGAGGTCAGCATGGACGAATGCGTATATGTATGTCTGTGTCGGAGATACAGTAAGTGGTGTTACACGCGTCTTTCAGACACTGACAATGCCATTGTTTCCAAATTCTAGCCGTACTTTTCTTTGTTGTATTCATCTACGCTGTACGGAGGACTATATCAAACGACATCTAACAGTGCCATTCTAGGAGATGAAAGAGCAGGGAACCCAACAGCTGAAATTTCCGATGATCCTGTAGCTGTGGTACTTGAGAAAAACGTTCATCACAATTTTCAGCATAAATGTGGTGTACACCCGTCACATGATAAGATTCCATCGCAATGAGTAACCTATCTTCATCGGCACCACCCAGCACTGTATCATCACCCAGCCCCGGATCGTCACCACCACGTAGACCGAGCTCTACGCCCCCTGGGTCCCAGTCCGAAAGAGCTAGTGTAGTCTCAACATCGCAGACGGAACCTCCCGAACACTGCGACGACTTCATTCACTGCCGTGCTTTTGGAGGTCCTCGTGGTAATACTTTGTGCGACGTGAGTTGGGCGTTTTTATGTCCTGGTCTTCATCCATTTCGCCCAACGCCACCATCTAAATACGGCACCATACATCCTCACCCTGGCGAGGTCTGGGTCTGCGCTTACTGCATGGATCATGATACCGCTGCATGTCTTCCTGGCCATTTTACTAACAAAATCGAGCCTATAACAACGCTCGCAGATGCCAATTATCAATCAGGCTTTCGTAATCAGCTTTGCCACCGATGCATCCGCGATGAGGTCGAGCTCTACTGGTTGCGCCAAGGGACACCAGTGCCTCCGATAAAACCGGGAGGGGATACTAAACAATTAGTGGAACAATGGCCAATTGCGCCGAATAGTCTACAGGACCTTTGCATCTGCAATAGATTGGGTATTACCCAGTTCCAATTTCGTTGTCATGCATGCCGCGACGAAGGTTTTCGAGTGAATAGCTGGGCTCGTTACAAACTCGCCGAAGACATTCTGACCAGTCGCGACAAGAAGGTCATTACAGGCCACATACGCTGCCACAAGAACGGCGGAACCGGTAGACACCTTCAAAAAGGCATACCTGACGGATCCGTCACCGACAGGATAGCGAACGCCGGTCTCCGTCGTAGATGTCCTTGTGGCGAGAAACCCAAGTCGCAAAGTACCCCAGAATATATCACATTTTGTCTGGGTTGCTCAGGTGTACGTATCGATCCTGCAAATCTGCCACCGCATTTACAGTACGAAAACGTCATGACGGGGATTGAAAAGAGGAAAGGGATGAGATTGAGCACGCAGAGGACTAGAAACGCGAGAATGCGGAGGACGAACGGGACAAGGAAGGCAAAGAGGAGTCATTTGTTCAGGGTTAATATTGAGAGCGCGTGGATTGATAGTAGACATAGAGGCGGAGGCGGAAGGAGAGGGGACCATTGGGTTGGGGGGTTCTAGAATCAGTAAAGCTGAAAGGGTGGGAAAAGTGATGCGCTGGCAACGACAAGGTGAGTACGAAGTAGCAAAAGAGTGATAGCCGGTGAAGCAGCATCTAGGACAATGATAGACTGTTGACAGCGTCGGAAAAATATTCAGGTAGACTGCGACGTCATCGCGATGCAAACGTAGAACATACTATGTGAAGGTATTATTGGTTGTTTAGTGACTGGAATACACCGCCTTTACTCTACTATCAACGAAGCAGTGCTGAGTGTGCAACAATGCAAACAACACCGTAACAATGTACCATTCAACTCCTCAATCCTTCATAATACATGACCGAACTGCCCTCAAACGTCCATTGCGCATCCCAAAAGAAAACAAAGCAGGAAGCAATTGGTTGAAGAAGAAGACGCAACAGTAGCGCCACTCATACCTAGAATCGGTTATCGTTGCAATCTAACACCAATCTTGGCAAGATGGCGTATTAAGAACGCAACAAGTTTCGTAACAACAGAATGACAAGAAGAACAATCTGAAGGGCTCTCTAAGTAAGCGAAAATCGAGAAAAATGACCAGTAAAGCATCCACGTTGCAAAACTCCTCCCTACACCCGGCAGCGTTATGAACTCCATGTGTAAGCTAGCCTTTTCAGGCGGCTACGACCATGTAAAGCCAGGGTGAGTGGGAGATGGTGACGTGGACTGCCGTCCAAATATCATCGCTGATATTTCTAAGTTAGACGTGATCCTCGACAGCGCGCGTCTCAATGGAAGGTCCAGCAACCGACGGCTGCTTGCATTCATGGACAGTACCGTGATCGCAACTGTAGATGCCATCTGGATTGTAAATACGACCTTCGGAGGCATGAACTGGCTGTGGTGGGGTACAGGGACCTTCTTCTGCGTGGGAAGATGAGGTACGAGTTGAGCGGGTTAGCTCAGGCGTCGCGTGCTCGTTGGTGATTTCGATACTGCAAGACACTGCGGTCGGGTCAGTCAAGGTGCGTGTGTGGTACATGAACGTGTATCTTACCTCCGGCAGTAGGTGAGAGTGCGACTTGAGAGTTGATGGGTGAGTGCGACAGACTGATCAATGCAGTGACAGCGTCAACTTCTTTCGCTTCCATCTCCTTAACGTCCTCCTCCTCTGTAGCCACGTCCTGCATTTCGGCATCTTCAGGATCTGGTAGATGCGAAAGAAAGTGCCGCCAGTCCTCAAGATGATCTGCATACTCGGATTCACATTCGACACCTTTGGCCGCCATCTCCCCCTTCATAGTCTTGTATTTCTCCATCATCTTGAACGTAATCTTGGGCATGTACGTATCTCCTGACTTGCCAAAAACACAGTTGTTGAGACGAGCCCTGAGTACAGGACACATGCGGTTGAACTTTGAGGCAAAAGCGTTGGCTTCGCGTTCAGCACGAGGCGGAAGGTCATTTCCAACCTTATCCTGGATGATAGTGCCCACGAAAGTCGCATTGAACGCATCGCGGACCTTCCTACTGCCAGGGAGTAGGAAACCGCGCTTACGCGACTCCACGATGCAAAGTTGAAAGTACAGCTCAAACCAAAGCTCCTCTTTCTCGTACCACAAGCTGACGGAGCGGGCTTTGAGACCGGCACGGCCGTAAATCTGGTTGCGCCAGGCATTGATCTTACTGATGTGGTGGGCAGAGTTCCAGTCGATCATTGAGTGAGGTATCTTGCGGAAGTGGAGCTCTGTGACTCTGTTGGTGGTGGAGCAGTCGCAGACCATACGGAGGAGGGATTCATCCTTGTGGCCAATGCTGGCCTTTTTGCGGGTGCCACGTGGGACGAGAGTTGACTTGAATCCATAAGATTTGGAAGCGGTCGCGAGAGGCTTCTTGGAGCTTGTTGATGTGTTGTTTGGAGTTGGCTTTGTCTTCTTGGCTGATGATATAAGAGCTGGGCCGGCGGTGTGCTCATCAGCGGAGCGTTTGCGCTTATTCGCGGAAAGAGGAGTGAGCACGGGTGGTATTTTCTGGTCTGTTTTGGTCTTCTTCGATACATCTTGAGCGGAAGAATGAGTTGCTGGTTCCCGGCCGATCTTGTCTCGCTTGGAAAGCATCTTGATCACTTAGGAGGGGTGGATGGTTTAGTCAAAAACACCAGGCTTGGGGCGTCGTGGACTGTTTGCGACAGGAAATTGACAGAAATCTTTCGATGATGCCCAAGAAATTATGCGTAGCTAGTAGTGGTAGTTGCGAGGTTGGGATACTGCAGTTGTTGTGATAACAGAAATCTAGAATAGAGACGAGGTGCAGGATGGAACCAAGCTTGAGGGATATATGACAACGCGTAGTGACTTGAAGATTTTTCATGGGAGCGTTTGAGGTGAAAGGGAGTGCAAGGGCGCACAGTGTATGTGTCGTTGACGCTCCCCGACGTCGCCACGGCACCAATAGCGCTGCTTGTTGTCGCCCCAGGATATAAGAGGTGAATGTGGAAGATAATAAGACAGATAGGGACCGAAAATATGGAAACAACCCAGCTGGCTGAGAGTTTGCATACAGCATAAAATGGCTGTGGTGACTGCGCGCTTTACACTGATATCACCCCAGCTGTTGCTTGTTGTCCACATTCACCTTCACTTTCACTAACGTATCTGGAGAACAACCGCAGGTCTGGCGGGTCAGAAGTGTAAGCTGTTTTTCTTTAGGAGGCGACGCTTTGTTAGCACTGCAGTATCTATGGATCTCACTGAACTCTTGCACCATCATCGTATACCTCCTGGCCTGCCCTTTGCTTCGTAGCTTTTTGCACTTGTCTCGATAACACCATCGCGTATGTGACAATCACGTGCAAGGCGAAAGTACTCATGGCCTCTAGAGAACTCCGAATTAACGGTAACTCGGGCTGTCTATAGCAACGCCACCTTAGGTGGTCGAGGGCCTTCCCCAGCTCGCACTATGCCAGGGTGGGTATAGCGTAATGCTCGTCGGATGGAGCGCCTTGCAGAACCGAAAGATACGCATTCACGCAATCCTGAAACAGTCTCGTACTACCCATAAAGTCAGATCTCGCGCCGATCAACACGGATAAATCTGAATCTGGACACCTCCCGATGAAGGAGCTGCAGATGGGGGCAATCACGGATTACGCCCTGCATGCAGAGAGGAGCAGCCAAGTGCAATCGCCCTTTAGCCCCCAAATCCTACTCCTGCCTCTTAAAGCGACGGCAACCATCGCTGTCGCGAGTATACCATCGGCTATTTCGTTCTCTTTTTCTTTGACCTCAGCGACGCGCAAAGATGAGGGCCGCGTGTGCCATATCGATCGGAGTTCTCGCTACAGGCGTTGCAGCGCAGATTGGCAGCAGCGTTTTTGAGCCGCAGAACTTCAACATCAGTGCGGCTCTCAAAACTTTCGGCGTTGACGTTTCAACTCTGCCAGAGCCAGCAGACACACTTCATTCACGGTCCTCGGATGCACAATGCTCACATGCTGTTAGTCTGACCGTCGCGCAACGATCCTGCAATATGGCGCGAGCTAACATTGGCTTCAGTGTGCCGCCTTAACCATATTGTTCGGCAGTGACAAAGTCTTGGCTGAAGGGGCAACCGCATATAGCAATTTCACGGGGGGATACTGGTCTGCTCAACAAGGCTCATTACGACCTTCCTGTGTCTTCAAGCCTACAAAAACTCTGGACCTCTCAATATTGGTACTCGCAGCTAGACTGTACCAATGCCCTTTTGCCGTAAAAGGTGGCGGTCATGCGGCATGGGCTGGTGCGTCCAGCATTGAAGACGGAATCACGGTCTCGATGGAAAACTTCAAGCAAGCTGTTGTTGCTTCGGACAAACAAACAGTTGACGTTGGCCCTGGACTTCGATGGATTGATGTTTACAAAGCTGTCGAGAAAGATGGTCTTAGTGTCGCGGGTGGACGTGTAAGTATACAGATCTCCTCCCATCCTTTACCGGCTCTGCTGACGATAGTATCAGATGGCTCCTGTAGGCGTGCCTGGGCTTATCCTTGGAGGGGGCATATCCCACTTCGCGAGCAAGCGCGGCTGGGCGTGTGATAACGTAGCCAGCTTTGAACTGGTTACAGCATCCGGCTTCGCCATCAACGTTAGCGCAGCGTCTTACTCCGATCTATATTGGGCACTGCGAGGAGGAGGCAACAATTTTGGAATCGTGACGAACTTCAAGCTTGACGCCTTCCCTCTTGGCCAGATGTGGGGAGGCCAGAGAGTGTACCTTGAGGATGCAACCCCAGCCGTGCTGGATGCGATTTATGAGTTCACCGTGACTGGATCCGCCAAGGACGAAGATGCCGCACAAATTGTCGTAAGTTCGCTTAGTTTGCTCCTATTGCGCAGGTGATTGACATGTACAGACTTTCGCCAGCGCGCCTGGGATCGGCAAAGTTTCTTTCGCCAATCTGCACTACGCCAAACCGATTGCTAACGCTTCTGTTTTCTCCAATTGGAGTAACATCACCGCCATCGATGATACCACCGGCCTCCGACCAATGTCCGGGATGGCCGACCTCTTGAACCAGGGAGCGCCTGCGCCTGGGGCGTACCAAACGTGGTGGGGTATCAGTTTGAAGATGGACAGACCACTTCTCCAATTCATTGTTGATACATTTTACGCGCAGGAAGCAACTGTCGCGGATGTCGAGAAAATTTTGCTCATCATGGCTGTTCAGCCCATTACCAAGAGCGCAGCCAAAGCCATGCAAAAGAACGGTGGAAATGCTTTAGGCATTGATCCAGAAAACGGCCCGTACTTTGTACTCAACTTCAATGCGGCTTGGAACAACCAAGAAGACGAAGCCAAGTTCCACACGGTGATTGCCAACATCATCAAACTTGTGAAGGCAGAAGCGAAGAGGAGGAACCTCGACAACGACTTCGTGTATCTCAACTACGCGTCCGAATATCAAGACCCCATTGGTAGCTATGGAGTGAAGAACAAGCAACGGTTGATGGAGGTATCGAAGAGATACGATCCGAAACAGGTCTTTCAGTACCTCCAGCCTGGCGGGTTCAAGCTAGTGAAGGGCGCACCGAATGCAAACACCCCCAATATATCATTGGCGAGGGGTGAAGAGCTCTGACGTGTTTCTAGACGAATGCGTGAACTCCTGATTGTCCTGAGTGGTAGCAATTAGGGAAAGTGAAAGGATAAAATTAGCTGCATATGCGGGCGAAAACGTCGCAAACGCCAACCAATGCACTACAACTCTAGTTTCTTGCTCGATGTATCACCGAGCTCTCGCTGTATGACTGTCGTCGTAGTGCTTCACCATGCTGGGGTGCCAATCGTGCATACTCATGAGCGAGTTCTCAGTGTGGCCGGTTCAGAGTGATATACACTGTTCGAGTGATCGGTAATAAGGGAATAAAATCGAAAAGTGAAACCCCCTAATGAGATTGGAAGTATTTTGAATTTCAGATGCCTCGCGACTTGACCAGAATATCAATGACGTAATTGAAGGAGTCGGTTAGCGTACCGAGCTACTTATCGACGGATGTGCGCCAAGCATCACACCATGTCTCATGACTTCAGCCTCGCACTCAGCCTTACGACTCTAAACGCTCAGTAGTTTTAGTCGCCGACACGGATCTAGATTTACACCCGATCGGGCCGCGCATACTTGGTGGTCGACCCACGTTTTTGCACTTGGTATTTACTGCATCCAGACGATACACGAGGTCTTCTATGACTATCTGTGCAGATGTACAGAACGGTGAGTAACTTCAAGGCAGGGATGAGCTTTTATTCTAGGTGGTAAGACGTTGTTGGTATGCTGCAAGGCGTTTACCGCTCGTTCTCCTGGTTATCACTGCATAACCGGGGCTGATCTCGCGACAGCATGGCTCTGTGTGCCTCGCCAGGGCACGAGACGCTGTGGAGCTCGTCCGCCAACTTCCCTTTGTCTACAAACCACTTGATGCACAGTCAGCCTACGTCGAAGCGCATGCACGAACGTTACAACACCAATGTCGGAGGCCAGTGCTCATCTCAACAGATTTACCGACCCATGGACTGTCCCACATGTAGTAGTTTCGAAGGACATTTAACGTAGTTCGTGGAGTCAGATGCGACCATGCGACGTTATTGGCTGCATTCGCCGAAATTACGGTGAGATCGCATCCCTGCGGGAATGCAGCACTCTCGCAGCATCGCTCATAGGGCTTGGCTACTAAGGCTTACATGCAGTCCTAACTACGGTTGGCGATGCTCATTCGTACGTTGACGACATTAACCCTCTTACCATATTGAGACATCGGCCAGACGGAGGTATAGCCGTTCTGCTATCCATCGTACCATGTGTGCTGCTGAAGGGTACAGAATTTCAGCGCGTCCGCACTTATGCAGGCACAGCACGAGATTGCAGCGACATTGTTTCCAGCACCATGGACGCAATGAGACATGCCCGGTGACTCGGAACCGAGATGCTTAGTGAGCGTGCCCACGCTTGCGGAAGGAAAGCTGCCGCTGAAGCCTATCTATGGAAGTTCGGCACACATCTGGCACGTGAAGAAACACAACATCCCGCTCAGATGTATCTGCTTCGGGGTTGTGCTCGTGTTGGCCCTGACACCGCGTCGAAGACTCTCTAAACGATTATGACGCCGGCGTTGTGTTCGTCGTTCCTGTCTGTAGCATGGAAGCGGAGCCACTGATGTAAATAGCTCGAGATGCCTAATACATGGTGCAGCTGGACTGCGGAAAAGATGTTTCAAGCAGATTTAGATTGACCTTGCTCTGCTTGTACAGGACGCGCAACATGACACCATCGCAACCGCCGTGCGGTGAAGATGAGCCAACGGATTGGAAAGCGTCATAGTATCACTATTGCATGCACTCGAAGACGGTCGAGTACAGTCGCTCACCTCCAAACTACAATCAGATGACGAATTTTGAGTGATGTGACAAGACAAGAAGTCGGTCAGGCTTCCAGCCGTAGTCGACCAGAAACGGCTAGTTGGCCGCCCCCAAGACCAATCTAGCTGCACATATTAGCCTTTTGGCGCGATTTCCACAGAACGACAACCTCCCTGCTGCATCGCGTTCCATCACAGCACTCTTACTCGTCGACTGGCCGTGGGTGCAGCTGAAGATGCAGGTCAATGCAGCTGCGTCCGATGGCCGTTATTCTGCCTCTCCGCTTTTTGGTGTCGCCGAACGCTTGAAGTGCACACATGGGTTCGGGAGCTCCGCGGGCAGCTGATTCGCAACGGCATGGCGAGCGGGGGTCCAGCGGCTGCGCCGAGCAGTGCCCTTGTGTCTGACCGCCCCACTTCTTTTCTTACAGGCTCTCGAAATACCACACCATACATGGCACTTCTGTGCAGCTTCGTTGGGGGCTGAGAAATACATCGTCATTGCTAAACATTTATTAACCGCAGAGCCCCCAATGGATGTCATACGCCCCAAGGAAGATCGCCAGCCCCTGAGCATTGGGGATTTGGCACTAAATTGATCATGGCATCGAATGGTACGCACAACGACTTCATCAACATCACCACGCCACACTCGCGCGCGCCCAGCATGGTTCAGGAAACGCCAGCCTCCGCGCCGCGGCCGCGCTTGCCAGTCAGGAAACAAGCGCCCCAGAGGAACATTGACGAGTTCTGGAACAAGTTTACGACCAAACACCCTGGCAAGATCTTTACGATCTTACCCGACAACCTGTACGCGAAACGCGCCGCCGCACATGCGCCGAAAGGATCCATACCCGGCGTCAATGCGCTTGCGTCATACGAGGAAGCCAAAGAAGCCTGTACCAGAAAGGTCGCAAAGATCGTCAAGGAATGCCGGCGATTGAATCAAAAGTACAGAGATCCACATTTCGACATCGAAGCAGACTTCAAACGATCGCAGGCCTTTCCGGATACACCAGCAGACTGTCTGACTGGGCTGAATGAAGAAAAGACCGATTTCCATCCTCTATCGGTCAAGAGAGTTGAGGTATGTATACCACAGACCATAACAAAACCTGGCTCATTCGTCACAGGACATCTTCGACGACCCACGATTCTACATTGGCGGCGCTACAGCGAACGATGTACGACAGGGAAACGACGGCGACTGCTGGTTTATGTCAGCACTAGCGACGATCTCGAATAAGGAAGAGTTAATACAACGGGTGTGCGTTGCCCGTGACGAGAAGGTTGGCGTTTACGGATTCGTCTTTCACAGAGGTAAGGACACGACTACACATTCGGATAGGTTCCAGACTAACATGTCTCAGATGGCGAATGGATTTCGGAGGTTATCGACGACAAGCTTTACCTCATCAAAGAAGATTTCGACGAAGCCAAGCTCGAGCGCTATCACTGGCTGGAGCTTCAGAACCGCAAGAGTCCAGAAGACGAATACCGCACGGTGATGCAAACTGGCTCGCGAGCGCTGTACTTTGCACAATGTAGTGACCCCAACGAGACGTGGCTACCATTGCTCGAGAAGGCCTTTGCCAAAGCACATGGCGATTACAGTGCCATCGACGGAGGCTTTGTTGGGGAGGGCATCGAGGACCTCACCGGAGGTGTCACGTCAGAGGTCTTTGCGACCGATATCCTGGACAAGGACAAGTTCTGGCGTGAAGAGCTCATGAACGTCAACAAAACGTTCCTCTTCGGGTGTGGCCAGATGGGTGGTATCTACGGTGCGCGCAAGGGTATTCAGGAGAAACATGCATACTCTGTCATGGAGGCACGCGAGATCGATGGACAGCGATTACTGAAGCTTCGAAACCCCTGGGGCCGGACCGAGTGGACTGGTCGCTGGAGCGATGGTTCAGAAGAATGGACTCCGGAATGGATGAAGAAGCTTGATCATAAGTTCGGTGACGATGGTGTCTTCTGGATCTCCTACAAAGACCTGTTGCGCACATATCAACACTTCGATCGCACTAGGCTCTTTGGCCCGGAATGGACGGTGTCTCAACAATGGACCAGTGTCAACGTTCCTTGGAGCGTCGATTACCTTGACACCAAGTTCAGGATACACCTCGCTAAAGGTGGCCCTGTCGTCATTGTCCTCAGTCAGCTTGATGATCGCTACTACCAAGGCCTCGAAGGGCAGTATGAGTTCAATCTGCAATTTCGTCTCCACAAGGATGATGAAGAAGAATACATCGTTCGCAGCAACGGTACATATTACATGAAGCGCTCTGTCTCCACAGAGCTGGACCTCGAGGCTGGCAACTACACTGTCCTGCTCAAGATCAAAGCAACGCGGATCCCAGATAACCCAACTCCGGATGAAGTCATCCGGGCCACATGCACCAAGCGGCGCGAGAAGCTCCTTGCGATCGGTCTTTCCTACGACCTTGCTCATGCCAAAGGGCAGTTCAGAGAGCAAGAAAAGGATAAGGCACAGCGTGAGAAAGAGCAAAAGGCCGAGCGGAAGAAGGCTGAGCTCAGGCTGGCACATGAACGTCGTAAGAGGCTGCGCCGAAAGGCGGAGCTGCGCGAACAGAAGAAAGCGGCCAAAGAGACGCGCAAGCTAAACCGATCCGGCGAGATGGCAGAAGTCGAGAGAAAGCTACACGACCTATCTGGTCTTGGAATCAACGTTGACGAAGACAATCGTACTTCTGGCGACGAAGAGGTCAAGCCTGTTCACCAAGCTGTTTCCAGGCATCGCCGCACATCGAGCCTTGATCCACATCGCGAACGCTCAGCAAGCCCTGGTGGCGGTTTTGGTGGCCGAGGAGGCTACAACAAAGGCCGAGACGGCTACAACGCATCGCTTCCTGGAACATTCCAAGGACGTGGCGGCTACAATCGTGATAGTATCGGGGCCGCAACCTCTGAGGCTACTACACTCCAAGCGCGAAGCGGCTATCATAGCTCACAAACTTCTCCTGCCGCCCACAGCCAAGGGTTTCAAGGACGTGGTGGCTATAACCAGAACATGCCAGGTGAGTTCCAAGGACGCGGAGGTTACAACCAAAATATGCCTGGAGAGTTCCAGGGCAGGGGAGGCTACAATCAGTTGCCTGGTGAATTCCAGGGCCGTGGTGGTTACAATAACGAACTGCCTGGCACCTACCAAGGCCGCGATGGGTATAACGAAGGTCAGGTGACAGATTCACCAATACCTACGCCGTTACCGACACCTCTTGCAACTCCGATGACCGATGAGTTCCGTCCTGGCACCCCCGGCCAGAGGACATTCAGCCCTCGTCCCGAGCGTCGATCACCAGCTGCCTCGCGCCGGGCTACGCTTACTCCCATCCCTGGTGTCCGACCTGGTATCCAGGTAACTCGTGGGCGAAGTGCTAGTGATTACTCGCACCGCGCTCAAAACGGAATGCATTCACCTGAGGATATGTCGGACTCCTCTTCCTGGGATTCTGAAATCGATGGCCCTTGCTCTCTCGATTCCGATCTTTCTGATGACGAAGACAACATCCCCCGCATATTCTCAGAACGCCAACCTCGCTATGTGTGGTACAACGGCGCGCGCTACCCATACATCGAAGACGAAGACGAATTCGAGCGCGATCCTTGGAACGCCGTGTGTGTCGTGGGGCTTCGCGTCTTTAGCAAGGACAATACAGATGTCACGATCGAGGTGCACAACGGCGAGGGAGAGTCTAGAAAGAAGTCTGACGGAGATGATGCAAGTGTGACGACCATGGGCACGGTCAGACGTAAAGAGAAGGAGCTTGATGTCGACGACAGTGCTGCAGATGCCACTAGTCCGATGCGGAAGAGGAATACTGGTCTTGAAGACGAGCTGAGCGCACGGTTGAATCGGGACGAGGAGGCTGAGCTTGTGAGCCATGTTGGCACTGCGCCGGCGGGCATGGAAAGGAGTCGTCAAGGGACGCTGAGTTAAGGAAGGTGTAAATTCACTCTGGAAGCTAGGTGTACCGTATTTGGGTGATGTTTTGGCTGGTATTTTGCTTCATGTATTTCCAGCGAGCTTGGTGTTTGGAAGGGTTTGCATATCAAGGATAGTACGTTAAATCTTAGCTTTGATTCGCTTGAAGACATCTCTCTTAGTACTTGTAGCGTAATCGTCATATGGCTGTCGATTACACATGTACCACGTCGCTCGCAGCTATGCTCCAGTGAACGTCGCTGGACCTGTGAAGTCAGACTCCACTGCGAACGAAACTTGATTTAATGACAATGAATTCTGAAAGCAAAACACAGCGCTGCACAAGGACTTAGAGATAAGTAGGAAAGTCTGGTAAAGTATGACGGTTGTGTTGCTGATAGATGTTATGGTAGTATTGTGTTCCTTGTGTCCTGGCGTCTGCTGGTCCGTTTTCGGCCCGTGGCGATGCTAGCAGTAGTTCATTGCTATAGCGCCATATGGATCCATCTTACCCAGTGTTTCCCACCCACTATTATGTGCAATCCGAGGCGCTAGTCTCCGAAAACCATATCTTGGGGATTCCGGGGTTGGCACACCGTTTCTGGATCGTTGCCGGCATTGCTATCACGCCCATCGGTCCGCCCGTCTTACTATTAGTAGAACCTCGACTCCGGATATTACGGTTCCAAAGCAGTGCTGTGAGGCCTTTAAATGACCTCTTTATTGGATACTGTACGTACCAAGCCCGCGTGTTAACGGCAACCTTCATAGACTGCATACATGTAGCGACGCCGACATCCAGGTTCAAATGCGACGGACCTGCATCTTGTATGCACTTGTCGCACGTGTGTCTCTCATTGGCGTATTGTTATCAGACACCGCAGGGCGCCAAACTCTAAGAGGCAGTTGCCGAGAATGGGGCACGGCCATTGCCAAGGCCGCCAAGTCTCAGCGAGAGTGACTGCAGCGGAGACGTCCGCCTTGTTCGCGTGGTACATATAGTGACAGATCGCCATAATGCAAGCTTGCTGTCGTGCTCGCGCCTCTCACCCTTTCGTTAACAACTCCACCAGACGCAGGTGAAGATGAAGTTCGCCACTGGGACTAACGCTGGCCTTGTCGCCTTCTCGGCGCTGACGGCGATCGCTCAAGCGGAAGATTCACTATACAGCAAACGCATGGTGAAGCGAGGCATCGATGCGGATGGCAACTACAACATCTGTATGTCGGCATATTCGACTCCAACATTGCTTCTGCTCACGTGACCTAGCCTTCTTCCACATCAACGACGTGCATGCTCATCTTGACGAGTTCAGCTCTTCAGGAACCGATTGCACACGACCAGAGCGAGGTTGCTATGGTGGTTATGCGCGCGTCAAGACAGTCATCGAAGAGCAACGCCCCAACTACGAGGACAGTCTTTGGCTGAATGCTGGTGATGAGTTCCAAGGCACATTGTTCTACAGCTTCTACGGCGGCGAGAAGATTGCCGAGACATTGAACCAGCTCGAATTCGATGCCATGACCCTGGGTAACCACGAATTCGATGGCGGCGATGCCCAGCTAGGAGAATTCTTGGTCAATCTCACGTTTCCCATCATCAGTGCGAACGTGCATTCGCAGGATGAGAATGTGAACAAGACTGTCAAGCCTTACACTATCTTTGAAGAGCACGGCTTGGCGCTCATTGGTGTCACCGCTGAAGAAACTGGTAGTCTGAGTAACGCTGATGTTACTACGGTTTTCTCCAACACCGTTGAGGCCGTTCAGGGCGCGATTGATGAGATCAAGGCTACCACCAACATTACCAGGATTGCTGCTCTTACTCATATTGGTTACGACAAAGACCAGGAACTTGCCAAAGCTACCACTGGTCTTCAACTCATCATTGGTGGCCACAGCCACACACTTCTTGGCGACATGGAAGACGCTGAGGGCAAGTACCCGACTATCGTTGAGAACCAGGACGGCGACGAAGTCTTCATCGTTACTGCCTACCGTTGGGGTGAATACGTCGGCTACATTGATGTTACATACGACCCTCAGGGCAAGATCCTCGCTTACAACGGCGCCCCAATTCATCTTACCAACGCTACCGAACAGGACGAGGACCTTCAAGAGCAGGTCGAGGAGTGGCGCATTCCTTTTGAGGAGTTCGCTGCTGAAGTTCTCGGTACCAGTGAGGTTGAGCTTGACCAGACAACCTGCCAAGAGCAAGAGTGCTTGCTCGGTGACTTCATGGCCGATGCTATGCTCGCCTACCGCAAGAACAACACCGACGACGTTGACTTTGCTCTGATCAACGCTGGTGGCATTCGCGCTACTATCGATCAGGGTGACATTACCCGCGGCGAAGTCTTGACTTCTTTCCCCTTCGGTAACGCCATCGTTCAGGTTGCTATCGATGGAAAGACTCTTTGGGAGTCTCTCGAGGGTATTGTAACTGGTGTCAATGTAGGCAATGGAAGGGAAGTCACTTCGTTCTTCCAGATTAGCACTGGCATCAAGGTGGAATACAACCCTGAGAACGACAACAACACCAAGCTCATTTCCGTCACCATCGGCGACGAGCCTCTGAACAACGACACCACCTACCAAATGGTCACTCTCGATTTTATCGCTGGTGGAGGTGACAACTTTTTCGAGCCATCGACCGATTTCATCACCTTGGACACTCAAGATGAAGTTCTTACTTCGTACATCTTGAGCCAGACCCCGGTTAACATTGAGCTCGACGGACGTATTGAGGAGGTCGACGGCCAGAGGGAAGACACCCCTGGTGCTGGCAACGGCACTAGCAACGGTACCTCACCCACAACTGGTGCGCCGCCTCAACAGACCACCAACGCAGCTGCCCGTCTCGGCCAAGGCGCCGTTGGCGCCAGCATCTTCGGTGTTCTCGCCAGTCTATTCATGCTCTAAGCATAGACTGATATGAAGGAATGATATGCGTGATGGCTACATATGATAAGACAACAAAACCATTCAATTAAACATGTAAATACTTGTTAGACGCGTCATTTGGTCTGAATGCCGTTGATGTGATCACTTGTGAAAATATAATGAGACGATACGCAACCAAAATATCATGTTGATCATCCAGCCGTGGTCATCTCGTCTGATCTCTGACAATGATAGCAAACTAAGATTGTGCTTCAGCGCACCTTATAGCCTATCAAATCTGGAATGCACGTAGCTCAGGCGCACCCTGTACCGCATACACTGTCAGATTCACTTAATTATTTCCTTGCATGTCGGCTATTGATTCCTTAGCCCCGCGAGTAGCTACCAAGACCTATAGTGCGCTCATAAAACCCGGATGTTGTCCACATATATATCTCACATGCATTGATAAGATGTGATGCTGCCTTATCTACCCCATGTATTTGTTCACTTTATCTCATCACATCTAGCTTGCAGTGTAGGATGCAACGATTTCAACTCCGGCTTTCGCGATACCTGTACAGAAGCAGGACTTAAACGCCGAACCACATTGATTCATCGTGCTTTGCAACGGTCATCATGACAAGAGTGCAACTCCGGATCCATTCGTAATCCTCAAGATTTCAGAAAGCGAAGAAGTAGACGCACATGGAGATGGAGGTGAAAGGAGAAGCCAATTCTTCATATGCAAAGCACCTTTTGTCTATAAAGATCTTCGGCTACCTAGATCCTCCACAACCAGTCATTTCGATATTTCAACCAATAGCGCGCCATATCAATATGCTCAACCGTCAGATTAGCAGGGACAAAAGAGGGAAGATCGTAGTGCGCCTAGGCGGTCTAAATGACATCAGGCTCGGCTCTCCTGCACACCCACCTACCTTTACGCCACCTGTTGTCACCCCATCTGAAAAGCTCGAACCGAGTATTGCGGACTACACATTCGAACAGTACAAAGCCGCCAACCTCAACATCGACCAGCAACACGATATCATCGGCAAGCTCCGCAATGAGCTTCCTATCATCGACCGCGACGAAGTCGACGATACGCTCCTGCGTTCGATGGCACAGCAGTTCGAGCTCGCAATTTTCCCAACATGCAAGATGATGCATGTCGACCCCCTAGCCGTGAAGCGCATGTTCGACAACCAGTTCCGCATGGCGTATGGACCAGAGGTAGGGGCGGAGGTGTTAGCAAAGCTAGGCTTGTGTCGCTTAGAAGACATCGAGAAATCTGTTACTGCAGTGAAAACAGGGATGGTTACCAAAGAAGACGTCGAGCACAGTGCGGCCAATGTCGAAGAAAGCTCGATAAGACAAGAGAGAGACACGGTCGCCCCTCCTCCACCGAAGAAGAAGGCGAGGATGGCACCGCCCAACAACACACAGAAAGATCTCAAGGCTCACACTGCAAGGAGAAGGCGTGCGCATCGTGGGTGCAAGATCTTGACGCTGCGCTCGGTAGTTGTGTCGCAGAAGTGGGAGGCCTTGAGTAGTGGCTCGTAGCTGGCCCACACGGGCAGTAGTGGTGGTAGTGACACCTTGACTAAAGGCTGGGTACTGGAATGATGATGTGTTTTTGAGCTGGCGCGCGTCGTGGACGGGCTGGACAAGGGGTGATACGCAAATGCTGCACATAGAGCAATACTACGAGCGAGTATTGCATCATGACAAGCACTCTTGAAATCCGGTGGGACACTTTTATGCAGTGAAATGTACGAACGATGGTTGCGAAGCTCGTGAAGCTAGCTGGAGACCTCAGAATTTCGACGCGTGACGTCACGCGGTTACCGATCCAGGTAGCACCAACCTACGACGACACGCTTTTTGCGCAGATCTACAATAAACTTCTTCTAACGGACAATCTGATTTACAAGGTTTCCAGCCATCATTGAACTTCTCTGGTGCAAGCGACACATTTCAGGACGGATCCCCTCTGGTGGGCGGACTATCCGGGTACCTAGGTAGCGACCTGAGGAAATTGCTCCGATCATCTCGACGCGTCCGATCATGAAGGCGCCGCCAGGTGCCCCGCATCTGGCTGATCAGGGCAGCGTTATCGGAGACTTCACCAATGGTTTTGGGGAGTGGTTCTGCATCTAGATTGTTGTGGGTCGCAACGGGCCGTCACGAGTCGTATACGCTAAAACTTCCCCGCCGTTTACAACCTCGTACCCGCCATGTCAGGAACCGCTATTCTCTTGCATCAATCACAGATTGGAAGGATCGAGGACTGGACCCACTACTCCCCCTCTCCAATCTACTCACACCATGTCGGGTCTCAACGAGTCACAGATCTTTCTCGCCAAGTACCACTTATACAAGAAAGCCACTTCTACAATCGCAGGATGGATTGCCGAAACCGCCGCGTCCATCGGCTTCGATGTCAAAACGAAAGACCAAAAACAGCAGAAGCCGAAATCGAAGTCGAAAAAGGGTGCGAAGGGGAGAGGCAAACAGAAAGCGACAGGTGGAAGCAGTAGCACAGTGTATCAACTTGGAGTGTCGGATTTTGTACCCATGGCAGAAGCGATCGCAAAAGCTGGAGAACAAGCAGAATCTGAGATCATGGTTCCCGTTGCTTTATGCCGGCACTTCAGTCGCGCCATTCAGACACGTCGAGAAGTATCTTAGTGGTACAAGGCGAGAGTCAATGGAGACACGAAAAGTGATCTGCGGCACGAATATTTTATCAAGGTTCTTGAGGACACCTTCGCATCTCTCAAACCATTTCTCGGAACGGGCGGACTAGAACCTGCACGAAACAACGTTTCCGATACTACTACGTCGGGCTTGTCGTCTCGCAATCGCTTTGCGGGATTGACCGTCGACGAGCTTGCAGCGGTAGCCGATGAGGAAGACATCGCTGAAGACACACTTTCCGAATTCTCCAGCGTCAAGTTTGAGGAAGTCGAGGAGGACAAAGAAGACGACTTCTGGGTTGCTGTTGCGCTCATGCTACAAGAGCAACAAGACATGAGAGAGGTGGTACGTGAGAACTGGCAGAAATATAGGAGCGGTGAAGTCGACTTGGTTGTGGCGGCCATGACCACGGATACTGCTATCAAACTTGCTCAGGGTGCGGAAGCGAAGTTTGACCTGTTAGTAACGCGGCCAAAGAAATATTCACAGGCTGAATATCCGGTTTGGACTCTCCCCGCTGTTCTCTTCTACAACAACCACGAAGATATGCACCAATGGCCCCTCGAGGAGATTGCGAAGCCTTCTGCCAAGCTTGGAGTTACAGCCGATCAGAGTGAAGCGTACTTTGACTTTTGGCCAGTGTTCGCTGGTTTGAAATTTTATCTCCACAAGCACATTACTAAGACGAACTCAATTCCACAAGTGGTTCCGAAGGACTTCGGTGATGCCAGCATCCACAGTCGAACGTTGAGAGCGATCGAACTCGCGCAAGTTATGCGGATCATTGCAAAAGCGGTTAAACGCCCGCCACTCCTAGACATGGTCTCTAGAGGTCTTTTGGACATGCTTAGCGAGCACACGATCCCAATGTGGCTTACATATGGCGTCCAGCTCCATTTTGATTCGCAAGATATCTTGGGCGAAAGAACTCACCGACCACATTTTGAACTTCAGGTCTACCTGAACCACTTGAGCGGATCGCAGCGGGAAACTATAGAGGACTGGGAAGATCCAATGATGCCGAAAGAAGCCCAGTATGAATGTTATAATCCTTTCAAAGAGGCATACAATGAGATGGTAAGTTGTGCGTGTACGAAATCCATCAGAAAGGTACACTAACTTTGTATCTTCACCTCTGCAGAGTCCATGGGCGAACTATGACGGATTTGATGAACAATGGGAAAGGCTCAAGAAAGATCCAAACGTCGGTGGGCATCCAATCTTCAGGAAATTGAAGAGCGAGCCTTTCTACCTGTATAGACACAATCCTCTGCTTTGCGGTATGATGAAGTACCACTTTCTCGTCCACTGGCACGCGGCTGGCATATCACATGAAGCAACCTCATGTTCTATCCTTTTCATGGCCCATGTCTACATGGGCACACAGCTGAGAAGCCCTTCCGATCCAGTGTGGCCCGACATGGAGTTCATGCTCTTCAGCCAAGATCCTCGATACCTGTTACTCAAAAGGCCGCCTGAGTCGCCTGAGGAAGCACGGACACTCTTCGATATAGCTACTGGCCAGCCCACTCTCAAGCAAGTGGGGTCATATGCTCTCGATCGTTTGAACTTCAGCGATGAGTTTCTAGGCAAGCCTAGATATGATCCGAATAACAAGACACGATTTTTCAGAGATGCAAGCGTGTTTGGGGATTCTGTCTACTTGCCACGCGGTGCAGTTGCCTCCTGGATCAATAAAAAACCTGGCGGAGCTTTCAACGGTAAAATCGACACCATTGCCAAGGCACTTCTTGCAGCATCATCTCCCGATGCAACTCGCGGCCGTCTCGCTCGCGCAATGCAAGCTTCCCAGGAGAAGCAGGGACTGAAACTAGAACCGTTGAACGGGAAAGAAGGGCTAACTCCTATTGCCATCTTGCAACATTTTGCTTTCTGGCTGCAGGCCGACATGCCAGACCTTTGTTTCAACGGAGCGTTGATGCAGCGGCAATGTTCGGATACATGGAAAGCTATCTACAAAGCGCTCGAGCGTGACCCAGCTTGGGACAGCTCCTTCTCAAAATTCGGAAAGTCGGCGCAACGTGCAGCAAATGCCATCATCTCCACGTCCGTGATCGAAGGAAAGTACCCTCACTTCATAGACATAGCGCGCAAGGCAATGCTTGAATATCTACAGCAGCAAGACAGCGGGCTGGGATGCCCGCGAAGCGAGGTATGCCTGATGGACATGGTGAAGTACCACAAGAGAGCCGCAAGATTGCTTACGGATGATCAGAGTTGCTAACAATCAATCCAAACTGATGAGACTGACTGACTGACTGATTGCTTGGCAGTCAGTTCAGTGTCAGTTTAGAGCTCTCGTCTTATCAGTCAGTTCAGTTTAGAGCTCTTA